AGAACCAAGATGCATTATGTAAAGGTACAATTCCCAATGAGAAATGTAATTGTGTTGTATACCTACAATGTACCAATAAAAGAATGTAATTTAAAAAAAAAAAGATGTGTATGCCAATCCAATAGGAGATAACCAGCCAAATAATGTAGATACATTTTCAGGCTTATGTTTGTGTGATTGTTATCTAATTGTGTTATAACAGTTAGAAGTACCTAGGCACTGTCCAGTCCAGAAATAATTAGAGATTAGACACTAAAAATTTGTCACATCTATAAACTGGTGTATTCTACTTAAATGTTACTCTATTAACAGATAACAAACTGAGGTAAAGGTTCTTTATGTTGGGCCAGGGATTTAGCTCAGTTGTTCCACCACCTTCCTTGCAAGCACAAGCACTCGAGTTTGATCCCTGGTATCAAAAAAAAAAGATCTTTGTGTCATCTAATGTTTTGTAATTAGATAAAGATAACTGACTAAAATGGTATTTTATATTAAAATGAAAATTTAAATGTATTTCAGAGATAATAAAAAATCTAATGGTTCTAATATAATAATTTCATCATGATTGTTTTGCTAAAATGCTATGTTGCCCTTGATCTCAAATCTTCTCCATAACACTTTATAATTATTATTTGTTAACATTCTACCGGAATTTGGCTTCTAAGATGACCATGATTGGCAAAAAAAATAAGTTCTTTGGTCATACTTTATATTTCAAAGTACTTGACATCTAGATAAGATAGTTAAACTTACTGCTCCTACTGCAATGCTGGTGTAACTAATGTCATGGGAGTTCAACAACTGAGGTTTGGAGACCAAAGTTAAAAGGATAATTAGGCTAAGGGGACAACCACTATTCTGGCCCTGGCCCTCCAAGGTCAACAAGAACCCAGAATATGAAAGGACTTTTCTACAAGATACTACAGTTCTGGTGACTCACCCAATCCTCTCAGGTTGTTGGACCCCAGAGGACAGAAGTGAACCAATGTACACTGTGCTCAAAGGAGGGTCACTAAAGAGAGAAACATCTCCCATGCTTCCCCAGGAAGCCACAATGTCAAGCAAGACGGTGACCCTTACTGACACATGACACTGACAGTTCCCAAAGTAACCCCTTAAGAGCCTTAACTGATTTTGATACATGTAGCGAGAGGTTAATTTTGATTAACATAGATATCACTCTAACTCGGTATTAAACACCCAGTAGAAAAGTATAACCAAAAGATAAATAAAAAATACTAATATAGGCTACATATTAAAAGAGGGCTCCAATAACTACACTGGCCCCTGCTGGCAGTCTCCAGCTATACCTGTAGTTGGCTGATATTATGATTTAGTGAGGCTAGATAGCCACAGTAACAGCTATAAAACTCAACAAGAGTCTTTAAATTCCTTAGCTAAAATTATCCTTCAAAACCACAGAGCTCTTAATCTTCTTACAGCTAAAACTAGAGGGACCCCTACCCTAATAAATGAAACTTCTTGTCTTTAGATAAACAACTCACATCAGAATAAAAGAAATTATAAATAAAAGACTTATAAATAACCTCCATAAACAGGCAGGTCTAGGACACAGCTCGTTACAATCCTTATTCCAATCCCTTAAAAACAGTGTCTAAATTTGCCTCCATCCCCAGTTTCTTCTTGTCATTTTGGTTTTTATGTTTGAACCACGCATTCTTAATCTCTTAGTAAAATTTATTTCTTACCTTGAGGCTGTCAAATTCCAAATGGAGCCAACGATGAGTGTGCCAAACTCCTTTTACTGAGGTCTAATAGATCAACCTTCTGAAGAAAGTTCATAACTGCTGAAACCCAATATCTGTCAAGGGCTCCTTAGATTAGATCTCAGGAGAAAGTCCTGACTGCCATCTTCCCTCCATTGACCCCTTGGAGCAGGAAGCCACTAGATTAGGTCTTTGCCTATTCTTCTTTAATGGCAGTTAAGGATACATCTTCAGAAGGGAGAAAATGTAGAAAAGAGTTTATTTAGTTCACTTATGAGTAGGCAGCTACTACAGGAAGGGCCCGAGATAGAGTTATATTGATAAAAGCGAAGAATAGTAAACTAAGACTTTGGACCAATATTGAACTTCTTCAGACAATATGGAATGCAGCCCACTCCCTACTAAAAGAAGGCGCAGCCACTCCTTACTAAGCTCCTGAATTTGGAGAAAATTATAATGCAAATTAATCAATTTTCTTTCCTAAGATCCCAATTTCTTGTAAATCCTATATGTTGAAGAACTGGGTTAAAAGCCTGAGTTCCAGTTGGTTATTTTAAATCCACAGAGCCACCTGTGATAGATGACATTAAACAACTGAGCAATTCCACAACAGTGCTCTGTTTATCTACAATTTGCTCTGGATGGGGTGTGGAGAATGCAATCACCCCTGTGAGACTCCTTCTGAAAATCCAGGAGCTATTTTTCTTCTCTTTTTTCCAATACCCACCCCCACTCCAAAACTAAAAATGACAATCCCTTTATAACATCAAAAAATTTCTCAGCCACTCACTTCTGAGGTAGTAGCTGAGAAGATACAAATAGTAATAATTTGATTTCTACACTATATTTGATATCCATTTCTCATGACTTTTGCCCTCTGTCAATTGTAAGAGCATTGTATATGGTCCATGTTCCATATTTGGCTGAAACTATGTATTTAATTCAAGGTAACAGTAAGTTGGGCAAAAAGATTTGAATAATGATTTGTTATAGTTCCTTGGCTCTTTCCACGTCTTCAGCCTTGTATCCTGGACGGCTGGCATTTTTTTTCTTAAATATGAGGAACATTGATGTAAACATCAAAAAGTTACATAGCAGAGATGGAGAAAGTGGGGAGGGGAAGGAGGGGAAAGGGAAGTAAAAAGAATGAAAGTGTGCTAAGTACATGTGCCAACTCCTTATGATGAATATAACCATTATGTAGTGCAAACATGTACTAATGAAAAGGCAAAAATCCCCACCCAAAGCTACATGGTATGTATAAAGGGGAAGAAGTTGTGATCAGGAAAATGGATTAAATTAGGTTTCCTCTCAACCTTCTGGTTTTTGCCTTCATAACAGAAGAGAATTGGATGACAAGCCGTATTGTTTCAGTTTTTGTGTTTGTTTTGTTTAACTTCGCTTCCACAGCCAGCAGTGTGGAGGTATTGCTGCTTGGCACTCTGAGGAAGCCCTACACCTTATCCTCAGGAAAACTGGGTAATTTTGAAACTCAGAGTTCTCCTTCTGACTACTTAATTTCAGGATCTGTTCCTTGAGGAGTTTTATTTGCTCTTTGGGTGCTGAGCTGGCAGGACCAAAGCAGCACACCTCCAGGGTCAGTGCAGGCACTGGTCTGGATCCTGGGAGGCCAGGTCTCAGCAGCTCTGCCTGCAGCCTGGCTGGAGCCCAGCAAGCCCCACCCTGCACTGATGTTTGCATAAGGGAAGCCATGAAGCATTCAGTTTCATTTTCCTACATTGCATATTACAATGACTCATTTCTTCATATTGCTTATAAACACACTAGTCCAGAAGGAAAGTCTTAAATAAAACGATGATTAAGCTTTAGTGACTTTTCTCTTCAATTTGATGAAAACTTTTGACAGTATCTGAAGTTTCACAGGACAGAGTTTGTAGTTGGCTAAAATTTTCAACATGGTTTGTAAAAAATTGACATTCTTCATGTCAATTGCATTCCTCATCTTATGGTCTACATTTTACCTAAATCTTCTAGTCAAATCCTTAGAGCCTTTCACTTCCAGAAGTAGTCTGCATGCTCACCACCTTTGCTGAAAGATTTCTTTTTCAAGAATTTTACAGTCAGCACCAGTCATGTCTAGTGATATCTGTACATGAGAGTTGCAATATTTCTCATTTCTTTTTGAATCATTTCATAAGAAATAGCTTATGTACATTTGAAAATATATTCATATTTAAAGGTATATTTTGTTTTTTAGAATTAACTTCTAATGATAGCTTTTAAAGAGAATTGATTAAACAAGTCTTTAATGATTAGATACTTACCAAGGCTTTTCTGAAAACTTCTACTTTTTGTATTAAAACTTGAAGTATGTCTTTGTGAGGCTCTTTGATCTGGAACTGTTAGATCAGTTTCATTTTCTGGAGAATTGGCAAGTCACAATCAGCAAATCAGTGAGGGAGGAGAGATGTAGGCAGAACAGTGTTGGTTTGCCTGAAAATAAATTTTTGAGAATCTATTGTATCAAAAAGCAAACAATAAAAACAAAAATCAATGTCATAGTAAATTAAAATGCAATTGGTTGGACCATTGTTTAGGAAGTAGTTATAGTATGGTTTTCCTCCTTAACTTCCTACTCTGAATATTTTCAAATATAAATAAATTCCAAAGAATAGTGAAAGGAAAATCCTTGATGACATTTTTTTCCTATGCTTACATACTTTTAATATAACAAATAACATGCCAAAATGTGTGGAAGGCATGTCTTTTCTCTCTTCCTATATTCCATACTCAATGTGGAGCAAGTCTTACGGTGGTCAACATATATCTAGGATCTGACCACCACTGTCTCTCTTGAGTTGTAAGAATAGCTCCTTCCTAGGTTTGCTTTTTGCTGCTATTGATCCTTTCAGGGACTTCTCAAAATACTAGTCAGCTGACCCTGATAAAATGTAAATAATATACCAATGTTTTGACCAATCCCTCCAGGGGCTTTCCATCTGACACAGTGAATGCCAAGGTTGGTAATATGAATTATAGGGCCGCTGTGATCTGGCACCCTGCTACCCCTCTGATATTATATCTTACTTTCACTTCTCTTTCAAATCTGGGCTGGCCCATGATCTTCTTGTAACTCTTTATTTTAGGCAGCTCCTGCTCCTATTTCAGTTTACTGTGCTTGTCTCCTTTCCCTGGAATGTCCTTGTTGCAGTGCTCACTCCTTCATGTCGTTGAGGTCTTTTATGAAAAGTTACCTTCTCCATAGGTACTCTTTGGGTAGCCTACAGAAAACTACAGATCTCCCAACAATCCCATTCCTCTTCTGACTTTATTTGTAATTTATCTAATACTTACCACAACCAAATAGTCTTAAGTCTTTATACATTCTTAACTATTTATCTTGTGTATTTCCTATCGCCATCATTCTGTGCATTCCAGGAGGACAAGGGATTTGTTCACTTTGTTCATTATTTTGTAAATGCCTGTCACATTTTAGCTTCTTAACAAAAATTTGCTGAATTTGTAACATATTTTCTTAGAGTTATTAAAAATAGTGAATTTATGAAAACCCTCAAGGTAGCAATGTCTGTAAGTCGAAGGACTTTCTTCATTTTACTGAGGTAATTACTTTACCAGAATCCCAGACAGTAATCTAGGGAATGAGCCACTCATTAGACCAGATCTAATCAACTGATCACAAAAATGAAAAAGAAGTTTTATGATAAGGGAAGGAAAATTAATAAACATGTCTTATCCTGCTGTCTCTGTAAGCACCCAGTTTCATAACACACATGAGCTTCCTGCTGTGTCACTCACAGTCCTTATTGTTGGAGTCTCAGTTCCTTTGCTATTATCACCTGCTGCCTTTGCCCTAGGAGCTTATTTCCTGGTGAAGGAATTGTCATTTTCCACACACACCCACACACACCCTGATCAGGTCAGAAGTCGCACCTCCTTTCAGCCAGAGTCCTCTTTTGGCAAAGTAACCATCTACCCTCTCTCTGGATAGTCTAAAGACTGAGTGGGAAGATCCCAGATTTTTCTCTCTTGACCAGTGAAGACAGCAATTCCAAAAGGACCTAGCATTCTAGAAACGAAGCAGTCCAGTGGCAACGCTTTCCTTAACAGCTCTGTGACCTCTGGGCAGTGACTTCTGGGTCTGTCTAGGGCAGGGTTTGCTGCAAATTGAGCCTAGCACCATCTCACTGCATGGTAGTACTACTTTTGCTTAGACCCTACCAATAGATAGGGGAGCTAACATTTAGTCCTCAAATCCAGAGTCTCTTCCTCTATTAAATAGAAAAATTGACAATGTCTTAGCTCAATGTGATATACTAAACTCTTCAGTGATACCTTCTAACCTTTCATAATGTCCCTAATTTTTCAACCCTGCCTCTTTAACAAGATACCAGTTATGAACACACTATCCAGTAATTTGAACCTATTCAGTAAAGCTTTTAAAATAGTTTGCACTTTATGATTTTTTTTTTTTTTCAGTACCGGGGATTGAACTCAGGACCTTGCACTTGCGAGACAGGTGTGGGCGCCACTGAGCTATATCTTTGGCCCTGTGCTTTATGAATTTTAAGAGCATCTGCTTATGTAATGTTGGAAGTAAGTAAAGATCAAGACTGGGAGATAAATTCTGAGAATACCTTGATGTATAATTCTTGGCTTCCTGGAGGTTCTCAGCTTCCTGTTTTGAAACAACTGTGAATATAAATTTTCTTAGTAATATTAATTATTGAAAACAGCTGCTGCAGGACACCATTCTCAAGAGAACACTCCAGTTTTCTCTCTTTGATACTGAACAAGTAAGTGCCAAGTCAGCAGAACCCTTGGGGATAAGAATGGGAGTCCCTCCGCACCACAGAATACTCTAGGCAGAGCCGCACATGACCCTTGCCCTGAGGAGTTGTCATGCTCTTAACTGCTGCTCAAGGGGCAGACTCTCGCAGTCCTCGGTGCAGCCTAGAACGGCTTCCCGCCCTCTAGTGGCGCTTTGAGGAACTGAAGCCACACGAGAGCAAATTAGTTTCGTTTTCCTCACTTCGACTTTAAATCAGATTGCTGTATGAAGTGCAGTAGATGTGAATGAAAGATTAAATAGAAGAATAGCTATCCTCTGGGGGGTGTTATCTCTGATGAAGTGCAGAACTTTTAATACTATCTTAAGTTATGAAGGCAGCATTTTGCATATTTACACAGGACCAGAGATGCCGTCACAATCTTTTAGGCTTAAATTCCTTTGTACTGTTTTGTTACCCTCTTTCCACCCTGGCCATCAGCGGAGACCAGAAACCCTCTCACTATACTTATTAGTTCTCACCATTCTAATTACACTTGATGGTACCGTTCTTTCCAGAAAAGCACTTACAATTGTCACTTAAATATACTAATGTGCATTTAATAACACTGAAATTTCTAATTATTTTAATGTTTTTTGCAAGTAAGAGTTTATACAAAAACATGTATTAGTACAAAATACAGCTGTTGCATTAAGAGATATTGTCCCTTCATACATGTAACAAATAAAGTTTTAATGACTTGGGAACTTACCAGAAATTTCCTGAAAACGTTTTCTTCTTACATCTGAAACTTGAATCTGGCCATTTTAACGTTGCTTTCTTATTTCTCTTTTGATGGCTAGGAGACATACAATTCTAAAGATCCTTTAATAAAAACAAGGGCAACAACACTAAGCCCTGAAGTGATGAAGTTGTCTAATTTCTGTTGTGCTCTCTCTCTTTCTCTCTTTCTCTCTCTCTCTCTCTCTCTCTCTCTCTCTCTCTCGCTCTCGCTCTCTCTCTGAGAGAAAGGTTCCCTTGCAAAATGAGGAAGTAGGAATACAGACACAGTGGGTTTCAGTTTTGCTTGGGAGCATAATTAGTTGGATTTGGTAGGATAGAAAACATTTAAAGAGATATCACAGAAGATTATTAATAAATGTCAACCTTGATGAAAAAATGTTTACCAGACAAGAGTTTTAGGTCAAAGAGCTAAGAAGTCTGGGAGAAAAACCACCTACAATACAAAAGGAATAAATAGAAACACCAGGACAAGTGTTAAAATCTCTGTGTGATCTAAGTGGCTGTCACTTGTGGAATTATATGTCACCCAAATTCATGTGTTAAAGTCCCAGCTCTCATAATAAGACTGCATTTGGAAGTAGGGTGTTTATGAGGTGATTAAGTTAAAAGGAGGTCATTAGGGCACGTGCTAATTTAAGATGACTGGTGACCTTGTAAGAGAAGAAAGTTGGCCACAGACATATACAGAGGGAGACTATGTGAAGACACCAGGAGACAGGCATTTATTAATCAGAAGAAGCCAGCCATGATGACACATCTTGGTCTTAGATTTGCAACCTCTAGAATCTCGAGGAAATGAACTTGTGTTAAGGCCCCCAGCCTGTGGTGCTTTGTTTTAACAGTCCTGGCCAACTAACCAGTGCTCCTAAATTCTTCTGCTTGCAGAGTCATCATTTATTTTATTATCTTTTGAAAATTAAAATATTATTTTTGGGGGAAGAAATGGATGTCTTGTAACTTGGTTGTGGTGATGGAACCACAGATGTTTGCACATATCCAAATTCATCAAGATGTGAACATTAAAGTATACAATATTTTGTGTATCAGTTATACCCCAACAAAGCTAAAATCATGCTCAAGACCTTTGCTGGATGATGATATGTCTCTAGGGATAGGGCCAAGGATCAGTCTTTTTTTTTTTTTTTTCTTTTTTTTTTCCCGCAGTACCGGGGAATCAAACTCAGGACCTTGTGCTTGTGAGGCAGGTGCGGTGCCACTAAGGTAAATCCCTGGGCCCAGCATCAGTCATTTTAAAAGCTCACTAAGTAATTCTGATGGATAGCCAGGACTAGTAATGTGAAATAAGATAAATCAACTCTTCCTTTTTTCCATTCTTACTTTACCTCCTCTTTCTTTCTCTTTCATTTTCAAACAACTCAGTCCTAAAACCATTATATGGGCAGAGAAAGGTAGATGTCTATGGTGGCAGAGTGGAGGAGTCAAGATGGCCCAGAGCAGAAAGTCAGCACCTAGGAAGGTGGCCCAGCAGAGCAGTGTTTTGGTGAGAAATCAGAGCCTAAGATGGGTGGAGGGCTGGCCTTGTGTGAGTTATCAGAGCCCAGAAGAATAAGGAAGTTTACTTCTGGGAAGATCTGCCTAAATGGGGAGTGTCGAAGCAAAACTCGCACAGGACAAAGCAACTCTAAAAAATTAGAACCCTCCAAATTTAAAGAGCCAACCAAAAAATAGGCACCTGAAATGAAGAGATACTTCTCAGATGAAGAAATACAAATGGTCAATAAATATATGACATAATGTTCAACATCACTGACCATTCCAAAAATGCAAATTAAATCAACACTGAGATTACTTCTCACCCCAGAAAGAATAGCTACCACCAAGAAATCAACAAATAACAAAGGTTGGTGAAGCTGTGGGGAGAAAGGAGTCCTTCTTCATTGTTGGTGGGAGTGTAAACTGATACAGAAATCAGCATGGAAGTTCCTCAAAAAACTAAAAATAGAAATTCTCTTTGACCCAGCTATTTCCTTTCTAGGTATCTTCCTCAAAGAGTTGAAGACATCATACCACAGTGATGTATGCATACCCGTTTATAGCAGCACAACTCACAGCAGCTGTCTTAGAAACAGCCTATATGTCTACCAGTAGATGAATGGATAAAGAAAATGTGGTATCTATATACAATGGACTACTACTTTGCTGTAAAGAAGAATAAACTTAAGTCATTTGTAGAAAAATGGATCCACCTTGAGACCATAATGCTACATCTTGCTCATTCTTCAGCTGACAGATATTTGGGTGAGGTGATGCAGTTTCGTCCTTGCCTGGTGATCCAAAACAGCAAGAGCTATTCTGGAGAATATAGCTGGAGAGGAACCACTGAGTTATAGAACACAGAACATGCACATGGTCATGTTACTAAGGAATAAGGCTAAGGTGTTTCCCAAAGTTGTCAGACCAGATTACATTCCTCTTAGTAATGTATTAAGTATTCTCCTTACTCTATATCTTGATCAACTCTTGGAAACTGATACTTTCATCAATTTTACCACTCAAGTAAGCATGAAATTTTATCTTGTGGAGGCTCAAATTTGAATTTCTTTTCTTATTAATGAGGGTGGAAAACCTTTTTACATGCTCAGGGCTGCTTATGCTTCCTCTTCTAAGAAAAAAATATTTATTTATTTTTCATTACTTCAATTCTTTTATTGGTACATTTTAGGTATACAACACACTTACATTTCTCATTGGGAACTTGTACCTTTACATGATGCATCTTGGTTCTTATTTTTTCCTCATTCCTAGCCCTCTCTTCACCCCCTCCACCCTTCCCTATTTACAAAGATTTTATTTCCATTTCTCATCATTTTTTCCTTTCCCTTCTTTCCTTTCCCCTGTCCCTCCCCACTACCCCTTACCCTTTGGACCTTTTCTTCCTATTTTGCATTACCAATTATTCATTCTAATCATTGGTATATTTTAGGTATACAAAATAATGACATTCATCATTGGAAATTTGCACCTTTACATAGTCTCTCTTGATTCTTATTTTTCACCCTTGCCCAGCCTTCCCTTCAACCCCTCCATCCCTCCCTATTTACAAAGACTTTGTTTCCATTTTTCCATTTTCACATATTAATCCCATTCCCTTCTATCCTTTCCCCTAGCCCTCCCACTTCCTTCCCCTTTGCCGCTTTTCTTCCTATTTCACATTACCTATTATACA